TTTTAAAAAACCCCCAGATTTTTTTTTTTAATTTTGGTAAAAGCTATTTTCGAGGGCCGATAATGCATAATAACTTCCTGGAGCAGCGGTCACAGGAGCTGATAATTGTAGGGATATTTGTCGCCGATAACTTGACAACTTCCCGGAGCAGCGGTCACTGGAAAATATATCTCCTCTCTGTTATATTTTGTATTTTAAATTCCTTCGCTCTCAATTCGTATGATGACTACGTTTACAATTGTTTTTCTTATAAATTATCAGAATTTATATTTATCCGTATTTACAGATTTTCATAATTACATCAGATATCAACATTTATTGGTCTATATTTACAGATTTCCATATTTTAAGTTTACGAATATTAATGACTGTCTATTTTTTTATGTTTTTAAATTTATAATTGTCTTTTTTTCGACTTGTCTGAATTTATTCTTTTCTTTTTTTTTTAAATATCAGTCATTTTAGATGTTTATATTCTGATGCGTCTAATTTCACGGAAATCTTTTTTTTTTTTGATTTTATAATTTTACGCTTATCTTTTTTAAAATAATTCTAATTATTTTGATTACTATATTTTTTCATTGCTATTTTTTAACTAATCGATATTGCAAAGTATCCTCAATAAGACACATCATTTTTTTATTATTTCTGAAATCTTATTTTTCCATATTTTTCATTTATTGATTTCCTTACTCACAGATTTCCAAAATTTGATGTTTCCATTTTCTGTAAAATTTCCGACCGTAAAGAATCAATGAAACGCATTGTACTTATAATTTCTTTTTTTGTATTTATGTACATTTTTAATAATATACAACGTTTATTTATGTTATAACTACAATTTGTAACTTAGATGTTTTTGTTTGGTAATAGTTAAAATTTACTAAAAAGTCATTTAAACTTTTAAAAACGTCCGATAATTCATTAAGTAAAGTCATATATAAAATCTAACTTTATTTTTCAATATAAATTCAAACAATAAAATTATTTTTCAACTTATAAATAATAATTCTTGAATTCAATGTCCATATATTGCAATAAATATACAAACTCACTGGAGATGAGTAATTTATCAATTGTCGATAAAGAAGAAAATTCCCCAATGTTATAAGTAAAAATGATAAACTACTAATTATCGTTGTAATTTATAAAAAAATGAATGCCAGTATGAATAATTAATTATAATTAATGGATAATTGTCAATAAATTGTTGACAATTATTTCTGTGAGCAATTTCTAGTGATTTATTGATAGTGGTTTTTACATATGGATATTGATTACATTCATTTTTTTTTTTTAATTTTATGATTTGATTATTTGTAAGCAGCACTATAAACAAATGACGATACGTGTAAGATTATAATCTTGTGTGAATAAAAAAAACAAAACATTTCTGTTTTATTGGTAATATATTATTTAAAAAATTATAATTTTCAAAAAAAATTATAATAATTCGATAAATTGGAAGGGGTATGAATTAGATAAAAAATTAAAGTGAGCTTTTACTGGAATGAAAAATTTTCAATTTTTGATTATCTAAATATTTATATTGTTTTCTTTCTTTTAGGTGCTTTTCATTTTCAAAAAAGACATGCCTCTCAAGTCGCAAGTGTCTGCTGAAGATGCTGTTAATGTGTTAATACGACACATTAGTTATTTTGCATCAGAAAAATTACCGGAATGGTCTTCAGATATATGGCAGGTTTTAGCCAAAGAAAAAGAATTTCAAGATAAATGGAACGCGAATTGCGTACGAACAAATGTTAGAAATGATCGACGAGGAATTTTGACCAAAGCACGCCAGGAATGTGGACTCTTCATTTCAAATCAAAATACAAATGTTGACAATGGTGACGACTGTGATGATGACGAAAATAGTTTAAGTGACGAAGATGATGATAAACGTGATCCGGATTATTTTAATCATGTATATTCTGACATGAAAGACAAAATGGAAACTTTTGAATTAATTTTTTCCAGACAATTATGGGATTCAATTAACAAACATACTCCTCTGATTGAAAATAAACAGACTGGAGCTGGATTTCAACCAAAAGCTTGGACGCATACGATCGCATTCGAGTTATGGAAACAGTATCGACTTCAATGTGCATTTATTTTTAAAAAAGGTTCCATTCACGAACATGGGCACTATTATGCCACAATGACTGGCCACTGTAAAAGCAAATTATGTAAAAACTTCCTGTTTGGCTATGTAGAAAATGATCCAGGAGATGAAGGTGATGTGATAATTAAAATTAATTGTTGTGACACAAGGTTCACAAAGCACGAGAATTATAGAAGACCACTTAGAGGACAAAAAAGAGACGAAATGAAGAAAGAAGTGAAAGAAAAAGTGTTAAAGGAGCTGTACACGATGCTGCTCAAAAACTTCTTAAGCCAGGTGATACTCATTGTCCGGTTATGAGTAAACCCAACGTTTTATATCAACTAAAAAAGGAGACTATTGAAGATAATTTTGGTGTAGATCCAAAAGATTGACAAGATCTGATAAAGACACTACTGTCTATTGATCAAAGTCCTATATACCTTCATTCTATGAGGGTCGTAAGTACTAAGCCGTTTTATGTAGTTTATGCTACTCCGTCTCAAATACATTGCTACCGAGAATACCGTCGATTGCATCGAAACTGGTCATCAGTTTGTATCGATGCAACTGGAGGAGCAGCAAAAAAGTTTGATTACAATAACAATCGTACAAGTGCGATATTTTTGTACGAAATTGTCATCAATTTTTCCGGTACTTCCGTATCCGTTTTTCAGGTGCTATCAGAGGTTCATAATGCTGATTATATTACCATATGGCTGAAAAAATGGTTACGAGAAGTTAAGCTACCCCCTCATGAAGTTGTAAGTGACGGTTCACGTGCACTTCTTAACGCAGTCTCTTTAGCATTCAATAATCGTTCATTGTCAGATTACAATGAATTATGTTTTAATAACATAAAAGGCATAACTACAATTCAGCCTAATACATACATTAGATTGGATCTGCTCATTTTATTCATGCAGTTAGTTTATGGAAATGCTGGAAATCTGTAACTCATAAAAATGTTAAATCATTTTATTTATATTGTATTGCTTTACTCATTGAATGTGATAAGTGGGAAGAGATGGAACGAATTTTAATATTAATGCTTATTATTTGTTGTACAGAATATGAGGATACAGTAATAAGTTATCGTGAAGAAGAAATTACACCACGAGACGCTCGAGTTGAGTTAGAAACTCTTATTGGTAACCGAAAAATTAAGGTAATGGTTGAGGATATAGAAGAAAAAATAAAATCAATGGATATCGATTCTGACAAGAAAGATTTATTAAATGATTATTTGTTTAGTGTAAGCGACGATAATCTTACCATAGCATCATGGGCAAGTCATCTTACATCATATCCTACTAATATTTTACTTACTGGTAACACGTTAAATTGTTTCTACGTTCCGCTTTTCAAGGATCCATTAATAAAAAATGTCAAGGAATTTCCTCTATGGACCAAAGTTTGTATTCCATCTAATAAGTTGCGACCTTCATCTTCTTACATAGAAGAAGATTTCAAAGACTTAAAAAAAGTCTTAGCAAAACAAATTACTCTTCCAGCAAGGATCGATATTTTTGTAAAAGTTCATCTGAAATATTTACTGGGTGGTGTTATTATCCTACAAAACAAGTTCACTTAATTTGTAGATAATAACATTGATGATTGTACCATGTCAATCGAGGATTCAAATCTTCATAATGAAAAGTTTGAAGAAGGCGTACAAAATGATGAAGAATTCCAAGACAGCTTACAAAATGAAAATTGGCGAGGATTAGGAAATGATCTAAAACACGCAAAGAACGACTGGGCAAACTACGATAATAATGATAATCAAAATGATTCTGATGAGAATTCAAAAGCCGATGGTACTGAGAGTGAAAAATTACATTCAGTTTTAGAAATTGATGAGGATGAAATTGAAATAAATTTAAGTGAATCAATAAAAAATGATCACGATTATACAGTCATAGCAAGTGTACTCCATTAAGTAACAGAATTGATAATAATAATAATAATAATAAATTAGATAATGCTATTGACAAAGTTAGTAGGAAAATTAAAAAAGAAGGTAAATATTTTCAAGATTACCCGGAGATAAAATTAATAAACGATTTGATTAAATTAAAAAAGAATAAAGAAAATATTCCAACCATACAGAAAAAAGGAAAACACAAAGAAACTTATTTATTGATAAATGGAAATAAAAGAGGACCAGTTCTTTACCAGGGGATACACTATATTGCTTATAATACTTGTCCTTTGGACAGTATTATACAAATACTTTATAATGGAGCACTCGAGAATCAAAGTTTTACAGATTATTTAAGTAGCTCCAAAAATCCAGCTTTTCTACTTACCATGAACTTATTGAAAAAAGGCGTTAATAATAATCCAAAAATTTATGAGGAGCGCTTTTCCATTCTTCATCAATTTTATAAAGCATTAGAACCATCGCAAAAAGAACAAGGGGCTGAAGAAAAAAATAATAAAACAACTACAGTATCTCGAGTAATCGATTGTGAAGATAACGTAACCAGCTTAACTGAGTGTCCGAAGACAAATTCTAATTAACCATATATGATTGAAAACCGTAATCGAATACCGTATTTAGAACGCTAACTAAATGTTTATTAATGACATGTCGTCATATACAAGTCACACAAAACTTTGCTTGTTCGTAATTACTTAGTAATATAGCAAATCACGATAAAATTTTTCGCTTAAATTAAGTTCTAATTGTCATAGAATTTATATATTTTATTTTCTTCATCAATATAATATTTCACTTGCTAAAATCATAAATTTGTGGAAGCTTTCATTATGAAGCGATTCATCAAAAGTAGAAATTACTATTTTTCTGTTTATCAAGATTATGTATATTATAAAAATAATGATTGACCATATGACTTAATGTCTATAATCGTATCTAGTTTTTTTTTTTGTGAAATGTACTTTAAGTGAAATTTTCGTCAATGTAGAGTCTCACTTTGCTCGCCTGATAAATTCTCTTTATAATCTTAAAAAGTTATTTTTAGATAGATTACGTTAGGACTCAATATTAATTCTCATGGTGTAATTCTCACTTGATTTTGCAATCATATGTCATAATTAGTCAAGTAAGTTCCAAAAATACCATTGGTTGAAAAATGTATTTATATATATATGTATGTAATATAACCAACCTTGTCATCAGGATATCTGCAAAAGTTTTCAACTGATCTTGATGAAACTTGGTACACATATTCTTTGAGTAATTACCTTGAACGAGTTTGAAGATGAGCAAAATCGGTTAATTAGTTTAGAAATGGTGGCCATTTAAAATTTTCAAAATAGTGAAAATCTCGCTTTCGGTCACTTCATTGATGTATAACTTTTGACTGAAAAGAGATAGCTAATTTTCGAAAAATTCATGTGAAAGCTCATGAAATTGTCTTTGATTGGATGTACATAACGTTAACTTTTTTTTCTTTGTTACCTTCGATATTATAACTAAAATTAAATATTTTTTATTAACTTAATTTTTTTTACTTATTAATGATCAAAATATTCATATCACCGTGAATCTAATAGACATAACGATTGATCTTTTATTATCAATAAATCATATATAGTTAAATATAAATAATTCGAAATAAATGCACTTTAGGATTTCTAAATTTTTTATAAGTGCATTTTTCATATTTTAAAAATTATTATACTATTTATTTTTTTAATTTTAAAGTTAATTAAAATTTGCAAGATATCCAGTGATTACATTTATTCATATAAAATAGAAAAATATAAAAATCAAATAGTATAATAATTTTTAAAGTATGAAAAATGTACTTGATAGTATTTTTAGACAGATTTTGCTCATCTTCGAACTAGTCCAAGATAATTATCCAAATAGTAAATACACCAAGAAAACTTTTGCAGAACTTTTTTATTTTGTAATTAATTTATAAAATTCGGTTTTCAACTAATTATAATAGCGAAAATAAAGAGAATTTTATACCAAATGAAATCTACCTTCCATTTCGGGTGAGACCGAATGGCCTTTTATTCTTTATTATTATTGTTAATTTAAAGGTTTAATGTTTCGTTAATTGTTTCATTTTTCATTAAAATTTTTTTACACATTAAATTTTAGAATACCATACAATTTTATTTCTTATAGAATACGTAGAACAACAAATTAAAAAAAAAAAAGTTTTATGATATCATGATATCAATTTTAACATTCGATCAAAACTTGAGATATGATGTTATAAAACAGAGATTCCTAAAATCACTATAAAGAAAAACAAAATGAAAAAAGAAATTGTTAAAAACTCAATTACTTAGATTTAAGCAGGTTCTCTGCTTTGGCGGTCTATTTTTTAAGGATTTATTTGAGAATTTTTGACAAACGATGCAAAGATAGAACTTTGAATTTTCTATTATGTATTTATTATTATTTTAAGATTATGTAAAACAAATTTCAAATAAAAATCTTCATTAGAACGGAACTCATACCACTCTAATGAAGACACCCGCCTCGAAAAAAACGGGCGCTAACTATCTCCACGATTTCGACTGATTGGTTTATGGGAATGAAAAAAAAAAAAATCGGCATTTGAATCTTGAAGTCTAAACACATAGTCAAAAAAAATTCTCAAAAAAATGCTTAATAAACAGACCGTCAAATCAGAAAACTTCCTTAAAACCATTATTTGAATTTTTAATCTTGAAAAAAAAATTTTTTTCTTAAAAACTCAACGAACAAACGAGAATTAAAAAAATTTTTGAATAACTCATTAAGACAAAAATTATCAGGATAGATAAGATAGAAAGAGTAACTTTCTTTAAAGTTCAGTATCCTTTGTATAGCGAATAGGAACACAAAAAAATAACTTAAAATTTATTCGAGAAGATCTTTTGATGAGTACTAACAATGCTACACAGTTAAAGAAATGAAAAACTAAAATTTTTCAGTGCCTACGATTGTACTTCCAATTATAGAGTTCTTTTACATATGGTTATAATTACCCCATAAAAAAACAGCTCATTCTATTCGAATAAGCGTGAAACTATTTAGTATTAATATAGATTGAGTCAAACCCCACACTGTGAATATCAATATTTGAACCTCAGTATGAGACATTTATTTTCTTCTATGTCAACGTAAATAAGACTGGCAATTACGAACTATAAATAAATAAATAAAGAACCCTAGATTCGATGAGTAATTGCATGTATACATTTTAAATCCCCATTGTCAAGCGCGTCTCATTACGGATTACTCTGCCATCTAAGCGACATAAAATTGAAGCTCAGTCACACCATTGATTTTCGAACCTCGGCAATTCGATGCCTTTCAGTGACCAAATAAGGGAATCACAGGGTAGCATCGCTTTCAACAACCCTTCGTAAACATCGCAGACATGGTTACGCTCACCTAAAATGGAAATTATCGTTGCACTTGTTCACTCATTTCTTTCGTATCGTTCGAATGATTTTTTAACATGTGATACTCTTGAAAAATTTTGGGAATTGGCTTATATTAAACTTACCCAAAGGTTTGAGAAGTATTTATTTATTTCCTTAACATAAAAGGATCATAAATCGTCCTTTGGCTACTGCGCGTGTGTATTGCATCAAATAAATATTTACAAGGTTTGTAATTCATACATCATGATCATTTTTTTAATTTTGATCTGTATTTGAATATAACATGTCTAATTTATCATTCAAAGGAATCTTTTATTTTTTTCTTAGCTACTATTTTTATAACGGTAGTAATTATTTTTAGATAACTATTCAAAATGATCATCATTAATTTCACTAGATCGTATTTTGTCTTTAATTGTTAAATTTCGTTTTTTTCTTTCATTAAACAATAGATTCTATTCCATTAAAATTCAGTATGTCGAACAATAAAACAAACGGTTAATGTTATTTTTTTGCCAAAAAGATATATGTTGTAGAAGTGAAAAAAATATTGAAAGTTTTATTTATAATTGTTAATTATAAGACCATGATTAAAAATTTCAGATGCAGTTTAAAGTATAACTTGTTACCAAAAATCACAGACCACAAGGTATTCACGATGGGAAAACTTCTCAGTCTTCTGGCTCGAGACGAGACGACTTGCTGTACTCCTCAAAAATATGACGTCTTTCTAGATTTTGAAAGTAATTAAAAATTCACTCTCCACTTCAACAGCATATTCAAAGATTTTAAATAAAAACGATTTGCTTTGTAATCTTTTTTAGATGCTCAACCTTCCGATATTGAAAGAGATACATTTGAAGCCGTACAACGAGTTTTGAAAAATTCAGAATCCATTTTAGAAGAGATTCAGTGCTATAAAGGTGCTGGCAAGGAAATTCGAGAAGCTATTTCAGTTCCTACAGAAGAATGTCAGCGTAAAGCGTACCTGACTGTCGTTCCTCTCGTGGCTAAGCTAAAAAAATTCTATGAGTTTTCTCTAGAACTTGGTTATTATTTTAATTTTAATTTAATACATCATGCATACAATTTCATACAACTAAAACTTAATGATAATTTTATGAAATACTTTCAGAACGTGTTGTACCACAGATTCTGGGTCAATTATGTTCAGGAAATCTATCCCCCATGCAACACCTTGAAACTCAACAAGCACTTGTCAAACAATTCGCCGAAATTCTTGAATTTGTATTCAAGTTTGATGAGCACAAAATGAAAACACCAGCTATTCAAAACGATTTTAGCTATTATCGTAGAACGTTAACAAAAGCTAAAGACAATCCAGAGAATGAATTGATTGTAGGCAATGAACTGGCCAACCGCATGTCCTTATTTTATGCCCACGCCACACCCATGCTTCACGTTTTGAGTCACGCTACTATAACTTTCTTAATGGATGTAAGTTCACATATAATACCCTCATAATATGCATCTTTATCTTTTAAAATGATGAATTAAAAGATATATCATCATGTTTTAGTTCATCACTCCCTTTTCATTTAAAATTGTCCACCTACTTATATCAATCATGATAATCAGTTTCCTATATCGCTGATGATTAACTTTTTGCTGACACACCTCGTCATTCATAAAATGTGCTTTTAGAGGGAAGATATACCACGAGAGAATATTACAGAGACGTTGGGGACTATGGCTAAGGTTTGTTTAAGGATGTTAGAGAATTCGTAAGTATTCCTTTATTCAATGATCTTAATTCACTTCAATGATGTTTTCATTAACATTTTTTATTTATATTATAGAAACCTATTGGCACAATTTCAAAGAGAAGAAACACAGTTATTCGTTCTAAGAGTCATGGTTGGCTTAGTCATACTCTACGATCATGTTCATCCACAAGGAGTTTTCTTTAAAGGCTCAAACGTTGATGTAAGTAATTTCAATGACCTCATATCAATTCAACAATTTCTAATTATTTGCTCATATTTTCAGGTTAAGGGATGTGTAAAACTTCTGAAAGATCAGCCGTCTTGCAAAAGTGAAGGTTTATTGAATGCTCTAAAATACACAACAAAACATTTGAATGAAGAAAACACACCAAAAAATATTAAAAATCTTTTAGCAGCATGATTACCAAAGCAACGTGGTTGCTGTATTCGAAATTAAAAGAAAATATATGGTTTCTTAGATATGGTATTTCTTGACCTAAAAGAAATTTATAAAAATCATGAATCTGAGACACTCAATGCTGGGTAATTGCCCCGGGGATCAAGATGATTGGATTTTATTACTGCTGTAATAATTAATTTTAAAAAAATTATATAAATTTAAATTAATCAAACGTATCGTAAACTATCAACAATTCACACTTGTATGGAGAGATACGTAAATAATTATACTAATTTCTATGATTATTTAACTGCCGAATTCATAATATTTTTTTATATCACTTGCATTAAAACTTGGGACCAACTGAAAGAAAACAATTTCAGATCGAAGCTACTGTCAATAGAAAAAAATTAACCGGGTTTTTATTCTTATTGGATAAATCAAAAATTATTACAGCTGATTTTAAATTGATTTTTTTTTTTTAATTGCAAGTTTCCAAATAACCTATATCATTAAGTTAACTTATGGAAAGTAACCTATTGATTTTGAACTGTCCAACTAACTTTAGATATTAAAACTTCAAGTTCTAATGCAAGTGATATGAGAAATATAGAGTGTGGAACGACATGAAACGCGATTTCAAACTGGAGACGAAGTCAATGCTTGTTTCCATCTGAAATCATTTTGTTTCATTCTGGTCACATGAAATACTATTTATTAACTATGATCCTTTTCTAATGGTAGAAAAAAATGGTAATATATTTTATAAACTTAAATAAAATAAGGTAGTCGCTAAAAAGCGGAAAAAGTGATTTATTTATGCATATAGCAGATTTTTGAAAAACTTGAAAATATCGATACGATTTTGACTTGTACTCTGATATAATTGATAATAATTTTTTTTTAAGGAATGATATGAATCTTAGATAGTTTTGGTTTCTGACGAAAAAAAAATTTTACAATAAGTAAAAATTAAAAGTATTATAACCTGGCAACGAATAATAACGAAGCTACTAATTCTTCATAATAAATGCAAAGCTCGAAAAAAAAAGTTTTAAATACACATAATAAAGAATCAATTAAAACAAAGTATTATGGATAGTTAACCAAAGATATAGATGTATATTGTAAATTATGCAGTAGAAAATATAAAATTATAAATATTATTCTTAAAATTTATGAACTTATGAGAAAAAAATTTTATTAATAAAATAGTGTAATGAGATGTAAAAAAAATAGTTATTTATATGCGTAATAAAATGGGTAAACATAACTTATTAACTTAATGTTTGAATAATATATATTTATCGGATGATTTAGGCCAAATTGATCACTTTAAAACCTGATTTTGTTTAGTTTGCCTGGAGCTTTTATTTGTTTTAGTACCTTCCTACAATTATTTGAGTAAATTCATTAAAATTTTCCCTTACAACCGGAAACAAGTTACGGGTTTCAAAATTTCTATCGTCGAAGTTTTGGATCTTTCACTCAAGTATTTCCAAAGAAAAATTTTAAACTTCTCGCTGTAAAAATCAATAATTTTCAAAAAAGATAATGAGTTCGATTCCTTCCAGTCTGGATTCAGAAATACCATAGTACACAAACGGCATTGTTGAGACTTACTGATGATATTAGGGAGGCCATGGATAAGAGTAAATTAACCATAATAGTTTTATTTGACTTGAGCAAAGCTTTTGATTACGTTGATCCCAAAGACATTCTGATTGCGCTATTTGAACTTGGATTCTCAACAGAAACGATCATATGGTTTTTCTCCTACTTATCAGATCGATCTCAGTCAATTTTCAATGATCTTTGGACTCCAATTCATCAATTTCTAAAAACGTCATCTGGTGTTCCTCAAGGTTCTGTTTTAGGACCAATTCTATTTTTAATAGTCATGAACTCTGTGGCTTAACGGCTAATATACTGCAGACATGGATTGTTCGCTGTCGATAAATATATACTCTTGCACTTCTTTTTGTATCTGTTGAACGAAGCTATCTGGCGAGTCAACATTGAAGCACAATCAGTTACGAACTGGACAAGAGAGCATGGGTTGAAGATAAACCTGTCTAAAACCAAAGCTATGATCCTGGGTTCAAACAGCAAATTGAAAGAACTTCAGGACATAGATCTACCACTGGTAGTAGTAAATGGTGTCATTGTACCCTACTCAACTCTACCAAGTGCTTGAGAATCCATATGAGTAGAAACTTATCCTGGAATTATCACGTTACTCAGATAGTCAGTAAAGTGAATTCAGCCCTGCATTGTCTCAAAGTTAGGAAAAACATTTTCTCAACTCCTATAAATGCAGACTCATGCATGACCTTTTAGTTTTCACGGTACACAGTCATGCACGATCGAGTACGGTAGTGTATAATCATGCATAGTCATGACAGATCGTGCGAAATAACGCATGCCCGGGAAAAAATGATCAGACCTGACCATGCCTGTTTATGTATGGTCAAGTCTGACATTAGACCTGATCATGCCTGTTCATGTCTGAAGCGTTCAATACGCTCAGGCCTGATCATGCCTAATTATACGTTCATGTCTGTTCATATTTAAAGCGTTAAATACGCTCAGGCCTGATCATGCCTAATTATACGTTCATGTCTGTTCATATTTGAAGCGTTAAATACGCTCAGGCCTGATCATACCTGTCCGTGTCCATGTCTGTTCATGTTTGAAATTTCAAATACGTCAGATCTGATCATGCATGACCAGGCCTGTTCATGTCTGATCCAGCCTAAAAAGTTTAAAACCTCCAGCTCTAATCAGGCCTGATACGTTAGTTCATATTTGGATTGCGAGCATAAACAGACATAATCTACTATATTACAGGCAAACGTCAATGTTGCAGGAATATTTTTTGGAATGTTGCATACATACAAAATTGGAGCCATATTATTAAAATATGCTAAAAAAAGATTAGACAAGCTACCTTAATTTTTTAATTTCCCGCTAAGAAAATTGAACATTTTCAAAAATCGGGAAGTTATTGGTTTTACCCCGTTTTTCGAAAATCGAGTTTTCATCAGATCTCGACGTTTTGAGGTCCTAGGAAGCTTCCCTGACTATTCCCGCGATGGTGCCTGTATGTGTGTGTGTGTGTGTGTGTGTGTGTGTTTTTTTCTTGTTTTTTTTTTTATTTTTTTTAAATATCTCCGAATTGGCTGAACTGATCAACCTCAAAAACTAATCAGCTCTTAACCTTGAAAACCCGCATTGATTGCCACCTAGAGCGTCAGAATCGGTTGATGCGTTCGTGAGATAAGGTAAAAGACCCCATTAGTGGCACTTTTTCTTTCAATGAAAAAATGTTCTACTTGAAATAAAAATTACAAATTTTTTTGATGAAAAGGTCTTAAAGATTATAAATAATATATTTATTATTGAAATTAGTGATTTAATTAATTGAATAAGTACCAAAATCAAAGAAAGTGTCAGTAATGGGGTCCCTGCCACTAATGGGGTCTTTTACCCTATCGTTGTCGAAAAAAATCGAAAAAAGTGTTTTTTTGTAATAACTCCGAAATTTTTCATCAGATCAATTTTCTTTGTTATAAATTTTTTATAGAGCTCAAAAAACTACATCGATCGCCGCCAACCGCGTGTAAATCGGTTGATTAATTCAAAAGTTACAGCAGTTTGAAAATTAAAAGAATCGTGTTTTATCGAATTTTGATAAGAGTTTTGAATTCGAAGAGCTCAAAAGCATAGCAAAGTTATTTCTTTGAGCTCGGAGATCTCCAAATAACACATAAATTGTATTTTTGAGCTCGGAGAGCTTAAAAACATCATTAGTGCAATTTTAAGCACCTACACTGTAAAAAGAGCGGTGTTAAAAATGGACTTATTTTAACACTGCGCGGTGTTAAAAGAAAATAACACCGGCGTAACTTTTCCGGTGTTAAAATACCGGTGTTAAATCGGTGTAAAACGGAGTAATATCAGTATAAAAGAGGAGTAACCATTCTATTTAAAATATCAAGATTATAAAATCTATAAAACATAATAAAATTGAGTTTTTAAATTACAAAAAAAAAATAAATAAGAAATATATTAAAATAGTATTCATTACACTGGCCCACAAAAAAAAAGTGGTCTGTACTTTTAACCAGACCTTACTTTATGTATTTTGACGCGCTAAATCCGAATCTGAAGTCAGTATTGCCCGTACACCCTCAAAATTATGAGTAAAATGCAAAAAAAAAACCCCCAAAAAAGCAAAAAATTGTGAAAAAATTGTAAACCCAGATCAAGTATGATTTTCATGTACGTCAATTCACTGAATCTAAATCTAAACGTTAAGTAGCCCCTTGATCCATCAAAGTTTGAAAAAATTGAAAAAAAGGCAAGAAATCATGAAAAATCGAAATTATCGAGATGAAAAAAATTTTTTGGATTCAGATTGAGTATGATTTTTATGTACTTTGTTCCACTGAATTTGAATCTGAAGTTTTCTTGTCCTATTGACGGTTTAAAATAAAAAAAAAAA